AGCTAATTAACCGGGTGAGTCCAATCTTCACTGTGAATCAACCTGTGCAATTTGGACTCACCCGGTTAATTAGCTGGGTAGATTAAATACATGACATGGAGATGACTTGTTGACTCCACATGTCCCATCTCTGGTCCACGCTGATAAGAAAAATCCTCTCTCTCGCTTTTTCAGATGGATTTGCTTCAGACCCGTTCAAAGGCAGTGATCCTTTCGCAAAGGACGTTTTCTTTCCCAGCGCTAATGGGGAAGCGGAAAACGCCTGCGATGAGGCAGACACCAGCTTGTCATGTGCTGAAAACAAAGCTTCAACTGGAACCCAGTGCTTTGAGTCTGAATTCCCAGATGAAGACAGTGACATAGAAATCAGCTACAGCAGAGAAGACCTGGACGCCATCGCTGTGGGAGACGATTCCAGTGGTTTTAAACCCATCCAGAGCTCATCAGAGGAGCTCATGCCAGAGCCGGTGAAGGACAGGAGGTGTCCAGGTCAGTGTTCTGTAGAATCCGACCCAAGTGGCTACGAACTGGACCTCTGTCCCGTCTCTTCACCCTCTAAGATGGATGAACACCAACATGGACCTGGAGCTGAGGAGGCTTCAGTTGAAGACGCAGCAGATCAAGGTACCAGAAGAAGGCTTCAACTTCTCCTTTTCATCTGCTTCTTCAAAAAAAAAAAACAATATGTTTGGGAATGTTTGTTAAACAGCTTCTTATTGAAGGAAAACTCAACCATTCTGCTGTAGATAAAAAACGATTAACCAAACTAACATAATTAACCTTATTGTTTCTTGATATTATCAATAATTATTTTGCAAATGAGAAAAATATAAACGTAAAATAACAAAAAAAAACAACAATGTTTTAAAACTTTTGGAGCAGGGCGCCGCCATGTTGCAGAACCTCAAACGGTGAGGTCTCAGGGTTGGTCAATGCTTTAAGCCGGGCGTACACTCTACGACTTATTGCCCTTTTCGGGCCGATTCTCCAGTCGTGCGAGAATTATTCGATCTTGCTGAATAACAAGGGGGTAACCAGGGGCGATCAGCCTCTAACGACCATCTCCCCATCAGGAATCGTAAAGTCGAGAGAAAA